AATTGTATTATTATATATACTTACATATATTATAATTGTATAATTGCATATGTATATATGAAAAATTTTTTACCGGGAGCTCTTTTAACATTTTTGATGATATCGCAAAGTTGTGATATCTTGCTCCATTAATTTGTATATGTACGTATATATATATATATATATATATATATATATATGTACAATTGAAAGCAATCGATATCGCAATGTTATATATCATGCATAAGTCTTACTCGGTGGTTGTCCACAACGACTGTTAATAAATTTTTTATTGTGTTTCGCGATAGAATCTCTCTCTCAAGACGAAATCTCCCCAAATCGTTCAAGTGAGCGCGCGCCGTTCGAGCGTTCATCATATGCGATATTCGAGAACGTTGTGGGTGACTCGCAAAGATTCAACCCTCCGGATAAACGACTGGAACTGTTGTTTTAAAATCGTTAAAATGACATTTTGTTGCTCGTATAAACACAAGTATCTTGTGTCAACAAACAAAAATTGCTCGTACGGACAGTGACGTAATATCGTTTCACAGAAATCTGAGCGAAACGAGGAAGCTTTGAAGAGCTTTGAAGTTTTAGAAGAAAAGAAAATCTATCGCCAGAGACAGACAACGTCAGATTGTGTGAGAACTTTAACAATCGATGAACAAAAGCTATATATATATATACAAAAACTGGGAATGCGAGACTCTTCTTTGACTTATATCGCAATTTTTTTTTACAGGACCTTTGCGTCGCGTATCTCCGTATCCTGTTACACTGCTGACCGACGGGGGTTGAAATCGATGCGACTGGGCGCAACAGCGAGCGTGGGTGTTCCAGGGTGAACTCGCGATCTCGCGTTTCTCGATTGGTCGTATCCGCCGTGAGCCGTGAGCGCTTATTGGTTGACCGGCATCCCCCTACCGTCAACCGGCTTGTCGCAGGTGATGTTCCGGCGGCTCAGCACAGGTGGTGTTCGCAGTGTGGTTGTGCACCCGCTGTCACGCGCTTGCTAGCTAGAAGACACACAAAGGTTCTCTTCTTACGGGCAAAAAGAAAAAAAGAGGCTGAGCGAGAGCAAAACGACTGGGCGACAGGGTAGATTCCTAGGTGAAAGAGAAAAAGAAAGAAGAAAAATAAAAAGAGAAACCGGGGGTGAGCGCGAAACGGGAGAAAAAGAACCGTCACAGAAAGAGACTCGAGGACGTAAGGACGAACGTGTGTGTGTGTGTGTGTGCGTGGTGGGAGCGCCCCTCTGCCGTAACATTCACACCCACGTATCTCGCATACGAGCGTAGGCGCTCTTCTCGGGGCGAGGAACCTTCCTGGAGCGCGAATCCACCCTCGAGAAGTTATTCGAACTTCGGTGGTGCCAGCGGGACAAGCGTGACTGTGTATATTATAAATCACCGGATTGGTGCGCGCGCTCACGAGGAAAGAACATTTCAGGATTCTTTCGAGAGAAGACTTGCAAAAGGAAGAAGTAGAAAATTTTTTTTTATCGGACGAGAGTCACCGCGAGATAATATACATTATCCGCGTTTATTTGTAAACGCCGTTAACACATTAACAGAAGAAGAAGAAGAAGAGGATGGTTCGGAGGTTCTGCAACGGTGCGGTTGCACTTGGCATCGCCCTGACGGCTTGCGCCGCTTTTCCGCGCGCCGTCATGGCGATGCCCGATCTCAGTCGTTTCTACAGTCACGTTTACTCGAAACGTTCGGGTAAGTGATTAGAAATTACAATCGAAAAAAAATAAAAAAAAAAAAAAACCTAGAACAACGCTTATGGACAATCGCAACGAATTTGCAAAAAGTTTTCGCAAACGCGTTCGCACTTTCGAGAAAGTGTGTGCACGATTTTTTTATCTATAAATGTGCTATATATTTCAGTTTGCATCCGCAATATATGTATATATTCTGCGTATTCGAATATTCTGACACAATGAAATAAATTCGAAGTGAAAAAATTTCATCGCGACGTGCAGTCAATTGAAATCCGATGATGCTCAGATGTGATTTTGCACTTGTGTACTTGCATGAAAAATATATTTTTATATCTCGGGCAAATCTCAGTTTTTTAATAACAATAATTTCAACTGTTTATATATATATATATATATATGTATATTGAAACTGACGTTCGTAGGTTTTATATAAAACATATGTTAAGTGCGAAGTAAGTTTGCAAGATGCGTAAACTTGCACCCCGCGGTCTTGTCCGCTCAAACACGATGTGTACTACTGAAACGATTAGATCGTTTGAATCTTGGAGAAAGATTATTGGAAAAATGTGGAAAAATTTGAAAATACTATTACGCACGAATATATACATTTTTAGTCGGTCATTGTCTCACGCGATTGCGAAATTTCGGTTGAAGAAATAAAAATATTGTGTCCACAAAGATATACGTCTATAGAGAGAAATATGTCAATTACACACACACACACACGTACTTAATCAACGTCTTTCTCTCTGGTGGTTATTGCACGTCAATTGTTCTGTTTGACGAAAACAACGAAATTACGAAGCTTTTACCCTTTACGAAAAAGAACTGCCGATTACATATACAAATAAAAAAAGTCGGTAATATAATTGCTTTTACACCGAAAAAATTGTATTCTTGTTTTGAGGATATCCTACTTTAAGTATATTTTATACTAAAATAGGCGCCAAGAAGAGTTTCTTATTTTAAGAGGAAAATCCTCTAAATAGTAATATTGATAAGAATATATACTGATTAGAATATAAAAAGCCTCTGTAGAAAAACATATATATCTCACTATCGAAAAAGACTATGTTCTTAAATTAAGAATATATTCTTAAATAAAGAATATATTCTTAATTTCGGAAGAATATCATCTAAAATCTTGAAGAAGATTTTTTAAGTATCAAATCTTCTACTTACAAGAATATAATTTTTTCGGTGTAGACATTGACTTCTTTTGATCTTTTGACATCTGTTAATGTATACCGCGTATATTTTTGACCGAAGAAGACTCAAGTTAGAGTCGAAATATTTCTTAATTATATGTTAAAAAGCGTGATCATTAAATTTATTTATTTTATTACATTAACATCTTTCTATTGCTCGATTTGACCTTATTTATTATTTGCTTATTTGTAATTTACATTGCGAGCGGTTCTGTCATTTTTTATATTTTCTCTCAGTAAATAATACAAACATTATAATATTATAATATTATAATATAATATAAATATTATATAAAAATATTTTATACTTTTTCTCAGTAAACAATATAAATATTACTCTGACAATCACATAAGAATATTATTAAGTATTACAGGAATCAATGAGAATATTACCGGTGGCGATTACACAGAATGCCAGTAATTTTTTCCTACCACCCCCGCAATATATTACTGCCAGTTAGTTCTTTTTCGCAAGGGTACTTTAGAGATTAAAAAAAAAAAAAAAAAAAA